CGTTTGACACAGCCAGATCAAACCACACGCAGCAGTTCACCATTAGGCTGACTACTGTTCCTTTATGCAGAAGTTGTATTATGAACAGAGCTGTCAAGGATTCGCTGCCACAACTTTCGCACTGCACTCACATATAAAATATTAACTTTTTTGTTCCAGATGTTGTGTAACAGATCTTTTAACAAACTTGACTATACGGCAGGGGTGGGCAATCTTATCCATAAAGGGCCACCATGTATGCAGGTTTTCGGGATATCCTTTAGGTCAACTGTTCAAACCCAAGCGTGAAGACTCTTCAGCCAATTAGTGCTCTAATTAGTATTCTAATTATGGAGTTGCAGTGAAAAGCCACATGCACAGTGGCCCTTTCTTGATAAGTCCACACCTGCTAAATGGTGACAGTTGTGTATGATGCAGTCCAATTTACAACTTTTAAACAGCTTGTCTACACAGAAACTCCCAGCATTATTTTATATCGAGTCACCTTCTTTACATTTCATGTTGTATAAGGGAATGTGACATTTTGAAAAATAATTACAAAATTTAAATGAAAAACACTCACATATTTCTAAGGCTCCCTTAGACTATGCTGAGGACCTGGCATATGGTAGTGGAGGTGATGGCAAGGTGGAGACAGAATAATCCACTGGAAGTGATGTGACATGTTAAAGTTCTAGTGAAAAGTGTCACGGACACGGCCACCTCCGGTCGTAAGACACGCCTCCAGTGAGTGTGAGACCTACCGCAATGTGGCTGTGTAAAAGCACGATGGAAAGGCCAATGTCCTGTCCCTTGTGGAAGCACTAATTGTGCGTGAAAATGTTCATTAACTTCCATGATTTACTTGAGCTGCAGCTTCCAAAGACAACATATCAGCTGCTATAATGAGCTGCCACAATATAAGCTGCTTCTAACACTCGGGGAAAAACGCTCAACAAATAGTATAAAAAATACAGCTTCCACATATCACCAATGAATTATTATAGTTATTGACATTAATATTAGCTACTAGGGATGTAAACAGATGGAATTTATCAGTAGAATTTCTCTGGGATACCAGTATGTCTACGGTACCTTACTGTGTGATGATAATCATCCAATTAGCTTGTTATGCGAGATCAGTGTTTCTGAGACCAGCCCACAGCCCCCCCAGCCAGTTCACAATTGCATTCTGTTCTGCCAGGTACACGTCTGATTTTAATTGTCAACTAATTAAAGACCCCTTGATTACCTGGCTCTGGCATGCGGGTGGTGGACTAGAACAAAAACGTGGATGGGCTGGGGGATGCTAGCCAATTAGCATGCTAAGCAGCTCCTCAGAAACCTCTGCTAGATGGTCTGTTTAGTTTTGTCTTGTGTCGATTTGATCATTCGTTAATAGCAACGAAGGACTAACTATGGATAGAGGCACCTCCACTGGCGGTGCTCAAGGAGGAAAGGAGGACAAGATGCTTCGGAGTTTTGTGTGCAGGCCAGAAACGCTGCACCGCCTGCTCTCCTTTTCTGTGTCTCGCTCCCCGACCCTGTGTGGCCTCGATGGAAGCCGCACTTCCCAACGCTTGCTTCTCCGATAAGATGACGAGACTAGAAAGGAGATCTTTATAATAAAAAAAAGGGGGGGGGAGGGGGGAATCAGTGAAGTACCGTATACAGGCCAACTCCAGGTAGTCCGGAAAACAGGGAGGAGCAGACAGCTGACAGTTGGTGACAGAAGGAACCCGACGGTTGTGTTAATTTACTCAATGCACTAATTGAGGAAAACACAGGCATGGTAGAATTTAAAAGGAATACAAGCACAAACTCAGCTGGCCTCTTTATCTATGAAGGCATGTTGCGTTGCATTGCAGACGAGTAAACTATCTTTCAGTCATTTCAGTCAAGCTGCAACTCTTGATTCAAATATCTGGCCATTTTGGAGTCACTGCCTCCCTATCAACTATACATAAATAAATATATTTTAAAACCCTTGTTCATTTCGATATATCTCTGAAATTTTTAAAGTTGAATCCACATTATTAATCCTTTTTGAAAAACTTAAAAGTACATAATCCTAGAAAAAGTATCAGGTCATGCATGCAAGAGAATTGGGAGTATTTTGTGAAGGGGGGAGGTGCACATTTATACCAAGGACAGAAAGAGCTCTTTTTTTCTACAAACACACTTCTGCAGTGATGAAAAGGTACACGAGCTGAGCAGCCAGAGTCACCTGGTGTTTTTACATCCTCTCAGACAAATGCGCTGAAAGGGGAAGGAGATAAAACACGTATATGTCACAAAATTAAATGAACAAGATGCTCTCATGATAATATAGACTTTAATATGAAGGAGTCTGTTAAATCAAAAGCATTTCAACCTTTACTTGAAAGAATGGCAAGATTTTAAACATTTATAGAGAAATTGTACCTTGACTAGCGAATGACTCCTTTCTGACACGCATTGATATGTTAATGCTGATTCCGATAGGCACTAAGAGAGCCAGTGCCCCCGGGGGCTGATTCAATCACCGTTACCGCGCTGCATTTACATTTTGAACTTTCCCTCTGCCGCTCTTTTCATGTGCCCGGGACCTGCCAAAACTTGTCAGCCGCAGTGCGGTACAAAAGGTGGGCTTCACCCACAAGCCGGCGAAAGACGGCAAGGGACATGCGTAACGACGTCTCCCCCCGCTCCCCCGTGCTACTTACGACTTCCTTGATCTCAATTACGGAGTGCATCCTCGGAGGAGCGAGTTATCAACATCGGGGTACGTCCGCAAAACATGCCGTTGCTGCCTACCGCCACGTCTCACATTGGCGCACCAACAGGAGGTGGGAATGTAACGGGGCCGCTGTCCCATGTTGTTTTCTTCGCTGCCATTATAACAGCGCCGGACATGTGCCCGTGTCGTGCATGGCCACGCCGTTTCCTCCTTATCTCCTCCATCATTAATCCCGCTGTCTGCCTACTCCGGTTACTCACATCTCCAGTCCCCATGTGTCACTGGTGACAGACAGGGAACATTGACAAAATTGCTCCAAACAGCCACCCTCAGAAGGAGGAAGGAAAAATGGGGAAATCTGTCCCTTCTCATTCTTTCTATTTTGTATATAAAAAAATTGCAAATTTTCAAAAAAAAAAAAACATCCAGTGACTGGTAATTCTAGAAACACTATAACTGCATGCAGACTTCCATGAAATCCTTTCTTGGCACTGATATTTTCAAGCTCTGTAAGCTAATTTACATGGATGTTAGGCAATATGCTTGAAACACCGAGTTATTAGCAGAAGAAAAGGAGTCTCTAGTCTAAATTGCACAGCAAAAAAAACAGTTTAAAGCACCTGCTTGAAAATGTCACAACTGGCAGGGCAGCAGGTAGAATTAGGGACCTGGATTTATAATATTCAAGACCATCTGTCATATAAGCACACAGATACATATCTAAAATTAACATTTATAAAGTGGAGGACAATGGCAGTTTGAGGTCACCAACAGCTATAGGGCTGCAGCAAGCTGGAAAAGGGTTAATGACTGAAAAAAGCTAATTTTGTCCACTGGTAAATGGCTTGGTGACAGATAGATACTCCTCACGGGCAACTAAATTGTGTCTTGAAACTGCAAATATTCGTGTCTGAGAGTCAGAATTACAAATAAATGTAATATAAGATCATATTATCCTATCTGTTTAATAGGTTTTGGTCCCCAAAGTCAGTTTATGAATTAATGATTGCTATTTAGGGAATATTTGTACGAATACTAATACTACTCTTAAAAGATATCATGCATAAAGAAAATCATTTTTTTAAGTTTATTTTGTACTGCCCTGTTTTCTTTTATACTATGTGTATTTGTCCAGTGTCTTAATTTCTACGTTTTTATGACAAAAAGGTAAAAGATCACACAAAAGTCTCAAGGAGACTTTTTAAAAACAGTTATGCCATGCTATATACCCATCAAGATAATAACCAAAATTTATCACTGTTAGGTAGCTAATACGTATTTTACATTTTTATCCATCAAAATTAGATGTGAGATTTAAACGGTCCCAACAGACTATAATGGTTTTGAAGCTTTAAATTGATATTTTTAATTGTGGCAGTAATGTGATGCATATACAGGGTTTTTTATTCAATGTTCCAGAAAGATTTATGGTATTTTGGGTTTTAAAAATTTGAAATGTTTTTTGAAAAGTTAAAATGACACGTTTCAAATTCAGACTCTTAAGAGAAAACTCATTTTAAAATCAGTAAATTCGTTTCCTTTCCGATTTCACACAAATTCTGAAAACTTGTGAAAACTCGCTAAACGAAATTAAATGAACCGTGGAAGCTCAAGTCTTTAAAACCCACGTAAGCAAAAAGACCCTGGGTTTAATTCTTAGAAACCGCCTGGTTCTTTTTACGCCCTTGAAAATATACGCAAGATACAGTGACAAATTGCAACTGCACGACCGCACATGATAAAAAGCAAGCAGTTTCGGCCTTTCTGCGGATGGTGCGTCCTGCAGGAGCGCAGCCTGTGGCTGCCGATGCGGTGCCAAAGCGCGCGCCGAAGCGATTCCATGAGCCAGACGATGTACATTAAAGGGGGGGAGCAGGTAGGCTGAGCATGTTCCCCCCTGCCCCCGCAGCTGTAGGAAAGCAGATGTTTACCACTATAATTAGCACCTTCCATACATACATCTTGTACGGACGCAGAATCCGATGTGACATGAGTTCAGCGTGAAACCACAAGAATCCCCCCCGTACACTATTAGTGCCGACACTTTTCCGTTGGTGATTAACGACGAGCAAGTAGGCATCTTAAGATTAAAGTTATATTTCCTGCTACCGACTGGGTTACTTTTCGCTGTTTAAATGGCAGAAATACAGTACACGGAGTCCGAGTATGTTCCCCATATTTAAACTCGCGTCATGCGGCATTTATGGCGAACAGCGAACACGCTGTAGTTTCACGCAAGCTCCGGTGTCCAATTAAAATATCGGTCAGCCATTACCGAGCTGAGGCCTGAGACAGAGCTTACCTGTAGCGCCATATGGGTCCACTGACCCACAGCGACGTGTCCCAGGGTCCTGGTGCTGAAGCTGCGCCATAAACCATCCTGTTGGTTATACTGAATCTGGACCGCCTCCCGTGAGACCGTCAGCGCGAGTACCACGCGCTCCCCCGCGCTCTTTTCAATTACAGTCCTATCAAGGGCAGAAACAACAGAAAGCCGAACTTTAAAGCCTAACAAGTAATTTTCAAAGTACATCAGAAAATTAATGGTACACTGTATAACAAAGAAGATCGGGGCATCCCTCAGAAAGCATAAAATTATAATTCAAATCTACCATTCGCCAAAATTCTCGACAATCTCAGCAGTGCGCTAGTGTCGCTGCATTTTTCAATTAATAATGACATATTTTTTACACATTTTTCCAAGTATAATTGCACTTAATGATGTTTTGAGAGCCTGATAATTAATAGGCAGCATTGAGAGTAATAATGACGCATAATTTAAGAAGCTAAAGTATTTATTGCCTCTCCGTTATTTTGGCGCCTAAATAATCAATCACATGGCAACAGACCATGTGACTCAGCACCACTGCAGTCTTATGGGTAGTGTAGTGGCGGGTCTGCTTGATCCTCCTGTTTTGTGTGTGTGTATATATATATATATATATTTTTTTTTTTTATGTGATCTACTTACTCTCAAGGTTATATGAAAATATCATGCTGATCATGCACTTGTCATACAGATTTTGTCCATGACATTTTTTTCCACCTGTAATTCTAGTAAAATGTGTTTTGAAACGGAAGTAGAAACTATCGTCAACCTCAGACATTAAGAAAAAATGTCATTTGGTGATGCATCATTTGCTAAAGGTTTTCATTAGACAGTTAGATTTTAATAGTAATAATTGCAAATCTTTTGGATTACTTTAAAAAGCTGGTGTCAATATCATACCACACCACATGCTACGGACTGTCGTTAATATAGCAATATTCTAAATATTCTTTCATTTTTAGCAATAAAGGAATTTGTTATAATGTTCATTTCATTTAATATTAGTATCAGAAAAGGACTTATCCTGATCAGGGTCACCAGGGGCCTGGAGCTGATCCCAGGCAGCACAGTGCACAAGGTGGATGCAGACTATGAATGGAATGTAATAAAATCCACATGGAACAATAAATGCAGCCCTAATCAAATCAAGTTCCCAAATAGCACATATTCCTTGTCAGGGTTGCCAACTCTCATCCATTTGACATAACACTCACGCTTTCAAACTCGCACACTCACACAAGAAATCTTACGGCAAATCTATATTATTCAATTATAAACCTAAAATTATCTACATCAAAAGTGTATTTACAAGGTAATAAAACTGTTACATATATATAAATACATGTGCATGTGTGTGCAGACATGCCTTGAATTGGAAATCTCACTCCAGCCAGATGACCACAGTCGGCAACCCTGTTCCTTGTGATATATGCTGTCAAAAACAGTCACAACAACCATCATGGGTGACACACTAATCTGTTTGCATGTCTGTTTTGCTTATTAAACAGCAGTGATTTTCATCAGTTTAATTTGATTCTATTGAGATGTCTTGCTTGATTTCCCGAGACTCACCTGCCTTATTTATTTATTTATTTATTTATTTATTTTTGGTTTATCACGAAAGTATTGCAAGGTGTGCATTCAATGCACATTAGAATGCGAGCACCCAACCAGCAGGCACCCCACTTGCATCACAGAACGCATTACGAAACGCCGCACACATGCAAACGTGGAAAAGCCGGACAGAGAACGTTCTAGAAAGCCCGTTTAATTGGTAGAGGCTGTGCGGCCACTCACGCTGGAGTGTGAAATGTTTCGCATTTCCTGCGGAGTGAGGCTCCGCTTTCATCATCCGTTCTTAAAGTGCGCCGCTCTGACAGTTGTGAGTTTTCCTCTCCACAAACCTTTCCCTTTCATTCCTTTCATCCCGTCACCCACTTTCAACTATATAATTTTCTGCTCCGAAAAACAAAGCAGTCTTTGAGCTTTTTTTCCTCCTCTTTTTTATTTTCGTTATTTTTTTTCTTTTTTTAAGCCAGGCCTAGAGACAGAGTGGCGATTCCGATTCATTGATCTAAACAAACTGCTGCTGTTGCTGTCACTGTATCACAGATAGAGCTGGTATGAGTTTTTGGGCTTTCGGCTGTCTGAGCTGCTGCCCTTACCTGTGCTTTATATGTGTGCAGTGAATAAGTGCATACAGGTGACATCATGTATAATATGTATTATATGGAGGGTTAAGGGTTAACACACATGGGTATTTTAAGCCTAATCCTAAGCATTTTAGCCCTGATGCCAATTATCCTCCTTCGAAAAAAAAAGTCAAGCCCCTGATCTTTGCAATAGCTAGAACCTCCAGGGTTATTCCCCTGCCTTGCATGACCCCCATGACCCTTGGATAGGACAAGTGGGCATAGAACACAGATGGATGGCAAAAAGTGCAGTATCAAATCTAAACTAGTACAATCAAGTATGTGTGACTTACCTCAGAATCAACATTTTAGCTAACAGTCTGATGTGTAAAGAGTATGTGATACATAACAAGGAAATAAGACCTGGTGCAACATCTACTACAACAGGAATTAGATTCCTGTGAGATGCGAGAGGTTTCGATTCCTTGTCTTGTAAATGGCCCGAGTCACGCATGTGCTTGAGAAGAATCTCAGATGTGGAAGGAGGCCCAGACTGTGAGGACACCTGTCAGGCTACTTACATTACTGCATCCGCCTTGGGTTTCAGCCACACGGTGATGGTGAATGAGCCCCCCGCTCCCAGGCTCTGCACGGGAGGTGAGGTGAAGCAGCTCGTTTTGTTCCAGAAGATGATGCTGGCCGAGTCCTGCGCAGACCCTGGGCGGGAGCTGCGGACGTCTTCCGTCACGCATGTGCCTAAGCCAGAGGAGAAGAGGTCTGCGTAGGGTGGGGTCTTGGAACGGGACTGGCACCCCTGGATGCAGAACTGCTGGGAGCAGCTGCGGAGGCCATACTGGGTCAGGCCGGGCTGACAGAAGGTGCTCCGTTCTGGGATCCCACACGTGGACTGGGCTGGCGAGATTCTTACTGGTTTGAAGGCCGCCACGTTCTCCAGTTTGGGGAAGTGGCCCTGGTGGCTAGCCAGGCTGGCAGAAACATACCAGCCAACGGAGCACAGCAGTAACACGGCTCCTTTCAGCAGCAGCGGCAGCCAGATCATTCTGGATAACGAGTCCGCTTCCCGGTGTAGTGACTTTAAATAAGTGATGAGGGCCATAGCGAAGGTGACATTTTTACAGTCCGGTGCCTTAGGTAAGGCCACGCACCTTAATTGCACAATGTCCAAAAGGGGGCCGAGAGCTTTTACATGATAGCAGGGATTTCAGACCAATCCAATCACAGGAAAGGCTGCGGAAAGAAAGGATAGAGAAAATATGACATAAAACACCACCCGGGTCTTTTCGGGGGGAAATGGCAACCTGTACATGCCAAACAACTCAAATTCTGACAAAAGAAAATCTATTTGCTGAAAGGGATGTCAGTGTTTTGTGTTTTCTTCAGATCTGATTTATTTTGCTTTGCTGCTGTATCAGTTTCATTTTTAATTAAATATAACATGTATTGCTAGGGGATTTACAGCCCACACTAAAACGGCACTGACCGATGTTATTTGTCATGATATAAATCACACTATTTAAACACATTAACCAAAGAAGTGTGGCTTTTTGATGTAAATCATAGTTAAATTGTGATTAAAGTAGCATTTAATATTTGAGGACACAAAGTGGGCGCTTGCATTCAAGTTTGCATTTAAAGGAGGTCAAACACACGAAATTTGCGCTTCACCACATAGTATTACTTTCCTGGTGTAAATGTAGATTAAACTGGAACTGTAGAGTACACCTCGGATCTTTTGCCAACGCTTAGTGAAATTACATCCCCGAAACCGTATTAATCTAGTTTTACTGGAAAAAAAAGTCATTCGGCAAGCCTGCATCAGAGCGACGCCGTTAAACGCTTATAATTCAGCATCCTGACTGTTCGTGACGCATTCGCATGCAACACGTTGTTAGCGGAGGAAAACAGCTTCGGCTTCATGTAATTCATATGCATTTCCAGTTCCCTCATATCGGAGCAGCAAATAAATCCCAGAGACAAATACTTTAAATTTCATGTTTGCTAATTCTTTAAAAATGTTTCTTGTCTTAATTATATTAACATATGTGGTTTTTGAATTATTACTTAACAGATTCTTTTTTTATAATCGAAAATAACAGGGAAATCGCTTTATTATCTTACCCAGACGTGTTGTGCTCTTGAAGCCTGCGCTCTCTCTGTCTCTCTGCAAAGCTGATTACTGTAGGTGGCCATCTGGACACTTGCTCGGGTTTAAGAACAAAGTATATGCAACTTGTACATGCAGTTCAGTGTCAGCAAATGTCTTTATACCCAAACTCAGTTCTTTTTCTTGCAACATTACTAAGAAAACATGAGTGAATGACAAGCATTAAAGCGGTTCTTCTCAAGACAGCTAATTATCCCAGGCGTCCGGAGGCTATGACAGATACTCTGTTGGCTAAACCTTAGTGCGTCTCTGTTTAACAAGCACCCCTCTTGGTTCAGGAACGCTAGCTGCCGTCGCTAAGCAACCCTTCTCCGGAGCCAGTCCTGTATTCAGGTGCTCGTGAAAAAAAATGACAAAAGCTCATGTTTTAAATATACTAAGCAATGAAACAAAAATTAGGAAAAACAAATGGACAATTAAATCTCAAACTTTTAAATATATGTGTAAATCTAGTCCCTGAACTGTCAGTAAGTTTCCTACCAACAAATTGTGGCCACCTTTACTGAGAAAGACTAGAAAAACTCTGTCGATAGGAATCAAATAGGTTAGTTAAATACACTTATTACACATTTTTGTTTTCTTAAAATTCACCCATTGTAAAAAGTATAGCGTACTACAAATCTTTAACAAAAATTAGATCGTGAACTGTATGTAGACTAAAGAAAATTAACTTCTGAATTGCTTTGCAAATTCATATTTGTTTAATAAGAAATAAGCTGAAGATAAAAAGTGTAATCATTGTAATGTGTATTCACTTACAAAGCTGTTTAGTATCTGTAACATCTATGTTCTTCTACAGACTCCTGGCGATTCATTTCTTCACAATCAAGTTATGACATGGCACCATTGTGCATTATACAGCGCTTGTGGTGGACGTTCTCTATTCACACAAGCAGCTGGAAAAGCAGTTGGGTCGCTGATAGTAATGCTCACCTAGTGGGCCACAGTGGCTGGGACCGGTACTGTTTGGTAATCTTGCTTATGTTCCCTGCCAGGGTGATCGCTTTCCTTACACTCTGTGGGTCTTGCGGTGTAATGTGTGTGTGTGTGTGGGGGGTGTATTGGATGTTATTGATGGTGGGACTGCAAATTCAGGGGCTTTTAGCACATTGTGACCAGTCATAACAGTGAAGCTAACTGAATGTGTGTGGTGGAGTCAAGAACGGCCTGTTCTGAAACAGCCTGGTGTTATTGATCAGATTCTAACTGATTAAGATGTAAGACCTGTGGCTACAGACAGGATGACCTTAAAAACACTCCTTCAGTTTGTATCTATCTGTAAAACACTCTTGGGTTAATATAATACTCAGGCAGAATGGATACTACTGCATGCAATAAGGTACTAAGTCCTCCCTCCTCGGTAATAATTGCAGGGTGAATGTATGTGACAATGATACAGTGCTATGCATTCAAATTATGTAAACAAATTAAATTGGCCTTTATTTTTTCAGACAAGTTTGTTATCTGCTAATCTTATTTGAACAGCTGCAATTGCTTTGGTGAACAAAAGACAGTCAGACTACTTTTTAATTAAGTGCATTTAATTACCTTAGGAAGATTAGTGCGCTTGCCTAATAATCAATAAACTACACCAGAGCCAGTTTTTTGCCCAGCTTAAAGGAGAGCTCCTACGTTTGAATATATTACTCGCATGGAATCCAAATTCTGCGTTCAGTTAATTTGAGCAAACGTCAAGACATAAACTCAGTGCAGTGTGGGTATGTCAGAGAGGACTAATTCACAGTTTAGTTCTTTAAATGGAAAATACATACTGCTGCCTGATTATCTTATTAGTGAATTATTTATGGTATTAGACACGGTGCAAAATTTTTAAGCAGACACTTGCAAGGAAAGCATGTATACACAACGCTTTCCTTGTGTGTGTAGACATTACCAGATCCCTTGGTAATGCACACAGACAACTTGAAACATTATCAATTAGAATATCTTTCTGTTATAATTATTTAATAATGTTTGTAAGATGTTGGCAAACAGTGCACATCTGTTGGCTTGGCACCTCTATTCACCTATAATCAGGTAGACATGATGATCTGGCACTCAAATGGATTTGTTTGTTTGTTTGTTTGTTTTTGGGTAGATTCTTTTGTTTGTTGTTTGGTTCGTCCATTCATCATATCCCAGTTGTTCAGATAAAAGTGTCATATATCACATAATACATTTCACAATATATTTCACATATGTTGTCTTGCATATACCGTGTATAGTTATATAATATGTGTTTTATCATCAATAGGGAAATTTGATTCAAGGAACATTTGTCTTACTGGCCCGATGATTTTTTCCTACACATAATTTTTTTTCCCTTTTTATATGAAGGTCACTTTTACAATACAAATTTCCAAAATAAGCCTGTTGCTTGAAGCCACTGATTTAACTCATTAATGGCTAAAAATACCACAACTAAAAGCAGAGCCCCTTTATGAATATGCTTGCAACAATGGCAGGATGACCCTAATAAGTGCTTATTAGTGTATTAAAAGCTGCTAGTTAGACAGCTGCATCTGAAGGCACACATGTTACATGTTAAGATTCACAAAACTGGTTTAATGCCAAAATACGCAGAGTGAGCTCACAACGAATGGCATCAGCCATTATGAATGCTATGAGAATTTCAGCCACAATTGCCCTAAATCAAGGCATTACATTTTGATTTCCTGGTATTGATTCCCTAAGCTCCCGTCTTGCAGCAGACCCTGAGGATGAGAGCTGAGGGTGTCGAATTTAAGTCTGGTATTACCATTATCTCTGCCTTTTCCACAGAGATGGTATGCAAATGAGACTTGGGCTCCTCTCACGTCTGCTGGACTTCTCAGGAGATGCACCCTTGTAATTTAACCCAGCCATGCGCTGCAACGTGTCTGGTTATTAAGCAGCATGAAAAAACATCTCTTATTAGCAGCCGGTGTAGTTCCTTCACTCCTGTTCTTCAGACAATGCTAGGCATCTTTTGGCCTGTTTGAATTATAAGTGCTTAGAAGGATTTCCATCAAATGATCTTCTGCTTCTTCTTTATTAATAGCAATAACATTATTAACAATACTACTATTACTGCTACTGTACAACAGCAACAGCAACTACAACTACTACACTTGGTTCTGCACCCTCTCTATGTGTCACACAGATTTCTTTCTGTAGTCCACAGACATGCATTTAGGATAACTCTCTGCTTTTTCTGTTTGACCCAAATTCACAGGCCCAAATAAGCTGCTTACGCTCATAATGCACGGACACATGCACACATTGGTCTTGTATATTGCAGACCCACCTGTCTGCTAAATGGATCTACAGCTACAAATATTTCAGCACATAAACAAGGAGTTAAGACAGAGCATAGAACTGCACTGTTTCAAAATAGTTGTAATTTGAGATGAATTAATTTATTAATTACATTAATTTAATTATAATCAGAACACAGATAACTTACTAATTCTCATAGGGAATGTGGGTAGTTTTTGCTAGTCCCATTAGCATTATAGCTTCACATCTGCAGGGCTGTGGGTTCCTGCTGAGTGTGTGTGTGTGTAGTTATGCCCATCCAGGGTGTTCCCTGCAAGATATTCAGTACTGACTAGGATAGGGTCCAGGTTAAATATGACCCTATGTTAGATAAGCTGTTATTTAATGTGGATATTAATAGTTGTCTTATATTATGTTATACAGTGCAGTAAAGCACATACTGTGTAATTCAGAGATGTAAAAACAGGTCAGTATTTCTCAGATTCTCAAGTCTGAAATGCTTCAGACAGGGCTTTTGCCAACCAGTGATATTCAGGCACCTGAAGTGTTTCTGTGCATAATTAGCCAATCAGGAACAAGAGCCAAAGTCACATGGCTCCAGCAGCTTAGGCATTCAGCTGAAAACACAGACGCATTCCACTTTGCAAATGTGGGGGAAATCTGGAGCCCAGATT